TATGGGGAACACGACTGAGCTAGCATGGCTGGGGAATAGTGACAGGAGGCCAGAGGTTAGTGGGCCAGAGATCACATGGGGCCCACCAGGCCATCAGAAAGATCTTGTACTTTCCTGCTGGTGGAACAGACTTTTCCGGAAGGTTTAGACCTGCCTCGTGAGACAGGTCGACACCTTCGAATTCTACAAAAATTAATCAAAGTAGTAAGTCTATCACAGATTAAATGCAACCCACAGTACTTAATACAGGCCCTGAGGCCCTGATCATGTGGCCCCACCCACCATACCAGCCACACCTTCTTCCTTACCTGCTCCTGCCCGAGGACCGTGGAGCCGCAGTTTATCTGTTCCCCTCATCTATAATGTTGTCCACAGAACCGCCCCCCGAACACACACACCCAGTATTCTCTCTGAAGTGACGGTGCCTTCTCGTCTTCCCATTTCAGCTACACGTCACCTCCTCAGAGCTCTGTCCTGGCCACCTGATCTCAAGTCAGCTCCTCATACTCCTCATAGCACCCCACTGGTCCCCTTCACAGAGCTAATGACATACATCTACTTGTTTACGGTCTACATTTCCCCCTCGCCTGAGGGTCTTGAGAGAGGAGAAAACATGTCTGTTTTGTTCACGACTACATATCTAGGATTTGATAAGTATTTGATGAATTAATGCAAAAAACAAGTAATATATAATCCAAAGGCAAAAGTTGGTTCTTTGAAAAGATAGACTAAATTGACAAACCTTTTCCTATTTTCCTTTTCCTTCTCCTGGCCAAAAAAAAAAAAAGAGGTGGGGAGAAAGAACTTAAATAACTAAAATAAGACATGAAAGAAGGGAAAACACCACTGACCTTACACAATAAAAGGATTATAGGGGAATATATGAACAACTGTGTGCCAACAGATGAGATAAATGAAACTGACAAATTACTAAAAGAGAGGTTACTACAACTGACTCAACCAGAAATAAAAAATCAGCAGATCTATACAAGTAAAGAGATTGAGTTTGTAATTAAAAAGCTTCTTGTGAAGAAAAGCCCAGGCCACAGGCCTTCACTGGTAATTCAAATCATTCAAAGAAAAAATAAATACCAATATGTCACAAACTATTCCAAAAATCAGAAGAGGAAGGGACACTTCCCAACTTATTCTGACACCAATATTACCCTGACACCAAAATCAGACAAAGATATCACAAGAAAGCTACAGGCCATATCCCTTAGGAATACAGATGTGGAAATCTTCAACAAAATACTGGCAAACATATAAAAATCCAGCAATACACAAAAGGATTTGCATATAATCCTTTTGAATCCATCAACATATAAAAATAATCATACACCATGACCAAGAGGGATTTAGTCCAAGAACCAAGGTTGGTTTAACATCCAAAAATCAATTAACATAATACACTACATTAGTATGATGAAAGATAAAAATCACACAATCAGCTCTATAGATGCAGAAAAAGGATTTCACGAAATCCAACACTTCTTCATGGTAAAACACTCAACAAACTAGGAATAAAAGGAACTTCCTCAACCTGGTAATGGTTATCTACAAACTCACAGCTAATATCATACTTTATGGTAAAAGATTGAATGCTTTCTCCCTACAATGAGGAACAAGATGAGGATGTCCATTCTTACCACTCCTATTCAACACTGAACTAAAAGTTCTAACCAGGGCAATTAGGCAAGAAAATGAAATAAAAGGCATCCAAAGTGGAAAGGAAGAAAGTAAAATTATATCCATTTGTAAATGATACAATTTTGTACAGAGAAAACCCTAAAGAATTCACTGAAAAACTCTTAGAACTAATAAACAAATTTAGCAAGGTTACAGGATACAAGATCAACAGACAAAAATCACTTGTACTTCTATGCATTAGTAATGATAATTCCAAAAGTGAAATTAAGGAAACAATTTCCATTTACAATAGCATCAACAAGTATAAAAATGCTAAGGTATAAATTTTTAAAAAAGAAGTGTAACCCTTATAGGCTAAACTACAAAACAATATAGTTAAAAAAAAAAATTAAAGGGGCGCCTGGGTGGTTCAGTCGTTAAGCGTCTGCCTTCGACTCAGGTCATTATCCAGATCCTGGGATCGAGCCCCATATCGGGCTCCCTGCTCAGCGGGAAGCCTGCTTCTCCTTCTCCCTCTGCCTGCCGCCCCCCCTGCTTGTGTTCCCTCTCTCGCTGTCTCTCTCTCTCTGTCAAATAAATAAATAAAATCTTAAAAAAAAAATTAAAGAAGGGGCGCCTGGGTGGAGCAATGCGTTAAGCCTCTGACTCTTAGCTTCTCTCCCTCTCCCTTGGCCTCTCCCACTTGTGCTCTGTCTCTCTAAAATAACTAAATCTTAAAAAAAAATTAAAGAAGATCTAGGTAGGGGTGGCTTAGTCAGTTAAGTGTCCGACTCCTCATTTCGGCTTAGGTCATGATTTGAGGGTCCTGAGATTGAGCCCTGCGTCGTGCTCTGCACTCAGCAGGGAGTCTGCTTGGGATTCTCTCCCTCTCCCTCCTCCCACTCACACGTGGATGTTCTCTTTCTTAAATAAATAAATCTTAAAAAAAGAAGAAGAAGATCTAGGTAAATGGAGATCTCGTATTCACGGATCAAAAGACAATATTGCTAAGATGGCAATACTCCCCAAATTCATCTACAGATTCAATACAATCCCTATTAAAGTCCTAATTCCACTAATAAAGACAGTGTGGCACTGTCCTAAGAACAGATGGAACTGACATAAGGAAAAATGGAACAGAATTCAGAGTCCAAATTAATCCTGGTGAACTGACTTCAACAAGAGTCCTAAGAAAATTACACGGAAAGAGAAGAGTCTTCAACAAATGGTTCTGAAACAACTGGGTATTTATCCACAAAAGAAGGAATCTGGATTCGTACCTAACACCATATACAAAAATTACTTTAGACTACAGGCCTATATGTAACAGTAAAACTATAAAACTCCTAGAAGAACACACAGGAGTTGATCTTTATGAAACTAGGTCAGGCAAAGTCTTCTTTGATACACCACCAAAAAGCATAAACAACATAAGAAAAACAAATAAGCTGGACTTGTCAAAAACATTCATGCTTCAAAGGACACCATGACGAAAGTGACGGCATCTACAGAATGGAAGAATATACTGGCAAATCATATATCTGATAACAGGCTGGTATGCAGATCTTACGAAGACATCTCACAACCCAATAATAAAAACACAATTAAGCCAGTTTAATAATGGGCAAAGCAAATGAATAAACATTTCTCGAAAGAAGATATACTGATGGCCAGTAAGGACATGAAAAGATGCTCAACATCACCAGTCATCAGGGAAATGCAAATCAAAATCATATAATGCTTCACACCTCCTAGAATGGATGAAATTGAAAAGACCATAATTGGTGCTGGCAAAGATGTGAAGAAACTGGAATCCTCATCCACTGCTGGTGGGAGATGTGCAGCTGAGTCTGGAAAACAGTCTGGTAATTCCTCAAAAAGATTTCTATAGAATTACCATATGACCTAGCATCTCTACTCCTAGGTGTAAGCCAAGAGAACTGAAAACAGATGTCTACCCAAAAACTTGCACCCAAATGTTCAGAGCAGCATTATTCACAATAACCAAAAAGCAGAAACAATCCAAATGTCCATTAATTGATGAGTAGATCAACAAAATGTGGTATATCCATCCAATGGCATATTATTCAACCATGAAAAAGAACGATACATGCTGAAGTGTAGATAAACCTTGAAAACATTATGCTAAGTGAAATATGCTAGTTACAAAAGACCCCATATTATATGATTCCCTTTTTAGGAAATGCCCAGAATGGGCAAATTGATAGGCAAAGAAGGTAGGGTAGTGGTTGCCGGGGCTGGAAGGGACAGGGGAATGAAGAATGACTGCTCAATGGGTATGGGGTTTCCTTCTGAAAGGATGGAGATGTTCTAAAATTAGATTGTGATGACTGGTTGCACAATCCTGTGAATATAACAGAAAAAGTTGAATTGTGTATTTTAAATGGGTGAAGTGTATGGTATGTGAATTATATCTCAATATAATACAGTGATACACGGTATATCACAGATGGTCCGTGACTTAGAATGGTTCAACTTATGATTTTTCAACTTTATGGTGGCGCAAAAGCAATATAGGTTCTGAGGAAACCAAAGGTCGGATTTTTAATTTTGACCCTTTTCCAGGGCTAGAGGCAGCATGCAGTAAGATCTCTCATGATGCTGGGCACAAGCTGGAGTCCCAGATCCCAGGAAACCACGAGATCACGAGGGCAAACAACCAATACACTAACAACCATTCTGCACCCACACAGCCATCATGTATTTCCCTTTCAGTACAGGATTCAATATATTGCATGAGATCTTCAACACTTTATTATAAAATAGGCTTTGTGTCAGATGACCTTGCCCAACCGTAGGCTAACCTTCAGTGTTCTGAGCATGCTGAAGGTCGGCTGGGCTGATCAATGATGGTTTGTAGGTTAGGTGTATTACATGTGTTTTCCACTTAGCATACTTTCAACTTATGATGGGTTTATCAGCAGGTAACCCCAAAGTAAGTTGAGGAATATCTGTAATGTGTTAGGTGCTTACCATTATATTTATATAATGACATTTTCCCTTCCTAAATGTTTATTTGTTGTGCTGTGAAAACAGGGTTAAGTTATAAGTAAGAAGAAGGCAGAGTAAAGACTTAACTTTGGGAGTCATGGTAGCTGTGCATCAGAGCCCTCTCACTATAAATATTTCCATGTGCTAAATATGTATAACAAGGAATTTATATGTAGTTCAGAGTGACATCAAATTATGGTGCATGTATCTTTTATAAGGTTCAATCACTGGAAAACTTTCCAACTGTAAAATGCAAAACTGGCCACCCCTTTGGATCAAAACCATCCTGCTCCCAGGACAGCAATTCCCATAGTGCACTAAGAAGAGATGGGCTCAAGAGGCAGAAATCACATACTTACATTCCTCAGGACCGGAAGTGCCAAGTGCTCGAAGGAAGTCAGATCCACCACATACTGCCCAACCCGGCATTCACGTTTTCCGGGCGGAGGCTCTGACCTGAATGAAAAGACAGGGCAGTCTCTGTTGAAAGACCCCTGTACTGATTTTTGGTTTGTAGCAACTCCAGTGAGCCTGTGGCCTCCCACATATGCTAAGTCACACTTAAAAATCACCTACACAAGAAGGGGTGGTACACAAAGCTAACCTGATTCCACATTCTCTCCTGACAACAGGGCTACCAACAAGAGTGCATACCACCACCATCACCACCACCACCAGGCAGGTACCTTGGGGGGCTAATCCTGAAGCTGCAGGGAGGCAGCACAACAGAAAAGTGGCACAGGAAACAGCATTATGAGTTACAAAATGCTAAAAATTTATTACTTGGTGGAATAAGTTTTAAGTGAAATATGATATTTTTATACTTTCTCGTATGATGGTTTCAATCTCTGTTTTCTTTGAGAAATCCGTAAAGGCCTAAGATTCTTCAAGATAGAAGGGATCATTTGGCTCAATCCTGTGCCCAGGGAGAATAAAACAACATAGAAATGAAATACCAGTACCCAATTCTAGACAAAACTCCCCGCATGCCGGATAATGTGACAACATCAAATCCTATTCTTCTCCCTCCCTGTCTGACTTCTGCTGTGTAAAATCCATCGACAGGCACACCAGAGGATTTTAAAACCTCACTGGCTTGCTGGATCAGTGTTGTTTTTCCAACTCCTAAAAAAACAAAACAAAAACAAAAGAAAAGCCCGTTAGGAACCACTCCCTTGCTAGAGGATGCACAGCACTCACTGACTCTGAGAGCAATCACCATGGGGAGAGAAATGGGCTGCACATGAATTTTATGAATATTAATTTCACTTCAATTTTGATTGCTCCAGGTATTAAAACTTTTTAATTTCAAGCATAATAAAAATATGGACTGGATCTTAAAGTTTTATTTTGAAATTCTGAAACACCATTAATTTTGTCACATACACAATCCCAGGACCAAATGAGTGGCTTTGTGGTGACAGCAGGTGCAATTTGCATCCTCTGAGACAAGCTTCTAGAACTAGGTTTACTCTCCTCCTTGGGTGGCCACACTCTTTCACCGGGAAGTAAAACTGGTCATGCTTGGGTCTAAGGCTGGGCACCTTAAACTGGGATTTCAACCTTCCAAACACTCTAGACCTATACTTAATGGTGGGAAAATCCTTTCACTCCTCCATGGACTTACATTGCTTTGTCTCCCAAAAAAGTCTCTCTTAAATACCACTAATACCACTAGAAATAGCAGTTTTTAAACTTTCTCACAAGAGTCTGTGGCCTCCCACATATGCTAAGTCACCCTTAAAAATCACCTACACAAGAAGGGGTGGTAGGCACAAGAAGGCAAGCCAGTAACCCCTTCTATGACCTCTTCCAGTGTCCCTAAGCATTCCCCTGGCTTGCCCCCCAACCCTTTCCCAAATTACAACTTCTGCACCTCCACCCCCTCATCCACCTGGCCTGTTAACTACTCTGATGGACTCTTATGTGTTTGCAAGCACCAACAGGTGTGAGCTAATAAAATAAAACTCATCACCAGCCTTGTGGAGCCGGGCACTGTTCTAGCATGCTCCACAAGCATTTCCTTGGTTAAATCCTCACAACGCCCCCTCTGGGGCACTTACCATTCTTGTTCCAGTTTTACAGATGAGGCACAGAGAGGTTAGATAACTTATCCAGGCTTACACAACTAGTAAGGACCATACATGTCAAGAGGGGCCTTTGTGTGTCACCATGGCTTCGTTTCTATGAGCCTTGTTCCATACACATTGAAGGCAATGGCATCATAATGACCCAAAAATGGAACGGGAAGCCTCCTACAAGTCTGCAAGAGACTATTTCAAGATACCACAAGGTTGTAAATCACAGTATTTCTACAGCTGCTGACACAGAGTCACCAGGGTTCCCCAAGAACCCTTTTAAGCTTCCTTGAGATCAACTATGATCTGTTCTTTAATAAACCTCTCCTCCCAACTTCACACCAGCAGACAATGGCGGCTGGCCTTTTGGAACATGAACAGCAACCCAGACACACGCTCCCTGTGGCTGGAAGAGAACCGGGTAGGCTTTTCATCCCAGCTCCGTCCCCCAGTACCTGCTGCTTTAAGAAAAGTCACTGAAGAACCTGGTTAATGCAGGCCAGTGGCACTGGTGGGTATGTAAGTTGGTACTTTTCTGAAGGGCAACTTCAGCGTGCCTTCCACAGCACACAGCAATTCTATCGCTACGAATTCACCTTCAGCAAAAATCTGACCACAGCACAAAGATATAGGAAACAGTATATTTTTTCCTATATATAGGAAAGTCAGTATTCATTGTAACAGCAAGATATGGAAAGCAATCTATATGTTGATCAGTAAGGGAGTGTTAAATTATGGTGCCATGTATATAATGACATATAAACATGCAGGAATGCCATGCAGCCATTAAAGATAATACAGTTTACCTAGATTTATTAGCACAGAAAACAGACCACAATATATGGATAGATGGAGAAAAAGCAGGTTAAGACATAGCAGGTATACACAGTATTATTCCATTAAGCTTAAAAAAAAAAGTGAAGTATATGTATCTACAGAAGGAAATGTCGAGAAGGAACTGGGAAGGTTTACAGCACTTATTTCTGTATATAGCAATTCCATGTGATTGTCACTTTCTTCTTTAAAACTTTGATTTTTTTTCTTTTTTTGGTCTTATAGTAAGTGGGTATTACTCTAAATGTAAAAAAAAAAGGGGGGTACTCCATTTTGAAGGAGATAACACAGAGCAGCTATAATAAAAGGGGGCACTGCGTGTCCTGCATGTTGGATAGGACACGGGAAAGCAAGAGGAGGTACTGGCTCAAGCCCCTTCCTCGTCAGCTCTAGAAATCTTCTTTCAGTTAATTTTTCACCTCTATCAATTCAGCTGCTACCCTCGTGCTGTCTACACTAAGAGGTAACCTATGCTGAAGGAGACCCCAAAATGACAGGTCCATACCACGCAGAGGCAAGACGAGCAGGTCAGAGAGCTCCAGAATCCTTTTGGTTCTAGTTCTCTCATAAGGCTGACCTAAGATAAAGATTCAAGTGCAGGTAGTTTAATTTGGAAAGTGACCCCAAGACCCCAAGGGAAGTACTGCATTATCAAGCCAGTTACCTGTGTGGGTAGCGAAGCCCACTGGGGAATCCCTAGGGGACAGTTTTAGACACAGGCCTCAGTTCTCCTGTCTGAGGGGTGAGGAAGTAGGGAGTTTATCCACCAGCTTCCATCTATCATGGGTTCGGACATTCCTGGGGGACAGGAATCCCCTGGCCCCTCAGGCCTGCCCCGCGCACAGGCATAATAGAATTCAGTGACCAGAGAAAGCCCTCCAAGATCAGTCACAAGTTGGACTGTTGGAAGTTGGGAAAAATGCTAAGTGCCAAGGACACACTGGTGGGGCACTGACAACATACAGAACAAAAAGCAACCTCTTTGCGAAGATATATTACCTGATGATCTGAATATGTAGATTAGATTTAGACAGCAGGCAGAGTTTGAGACGGAGTTAGTGAAAGAAACTATTAAAAAAACCTGACAGTAACTCCAAAAGGGAAAAAAAGTTATACATAAAAGGAAAACTATAGATTACTGATTACATGGCTTTTCTGTGATTAGCTTTCACATGTATTGAGCTAATCAAAATTATACTGTAACTGCACTAGGAAGATGAAGAGAAAGAGAGGGTGCCTAGGTGTTAGGACAGGCTTAGAAGAGCTATATTGTAGAATTATTTGAGTCTTTCAACTGTGTGTACATAAAACTTTTATGAAAAAGGAAACGGGAAGAAAAACAAGTGTTGACCTGGCCAACCTCTGTCCCCAGCCACTTCCAGGACCCAGGCAGGTACTAACACAGTAACAGATCGCTTCTGCTATGAAACACGTAAATGTCTTGGGGCCAGCCTGCTGAGCAAATGGCATTCCCAGTTTCAAATAAAGGACTGACAAATCAACTTTCAGAAGACAGTCTTTTGCAAGGTCAGGGACTACTTTGGATGTTAGAAATTCCTCAAACCACTCTCTTCACAACTTCCCCATTGCCTGGTAAAAATAAAATTCCAAAGTCTACAATATTAAGTGTCGCCTTTGCTACCTAAGGCAAAACATAACCATTAAAATAAAGTGGAAGACAGCTCTAGGCCCTGAATGACAATCTTTGATACCTGAACGCTCCACTAACTTAAACATCAGATCCACCTTAAAAAAGGAGCTGAAGAAATAAATCACTTTCTCCACTCCAAGCCCACCTTTCTGCCTTAGCCCATCTGATGCTGCCACCACCTTCCTGAGTCACACCTGATACATGTGTAGGGCCGTTGTTTAAAGAGCATCTCCTCTCCAGTCTCTCATTTGAATGAATACCATCCCATCCGTTCACAGCCCCACGGGGTTGGTTGAAGGCTTTGCCCAATGACTGGCATTAGAGGGGCCAGGCACAGACACATGATCTGAGAGGGGCTTCTCATCCTGCAGCCTCATCCTTGCAGGAACCTGGGGGGTGGGGGGGAGGTTTCATCTTTAGTTTCATTATCCTTCAAGCGGAAATCCGTGCTTCCTTCCATTATGGATGTAGGCCAGAGCCACAGTACCGGCAGCACGTGTCACTATCAACAGAAACCGGACGCCTCCATGTCAATCACGGTGTAGCAGACATCCTGAAGTATCGTTCGTGCCCATCACAAGTTCAAAACGACGTAGTCACACTGCTGCCGCTGGACCCCGCTCTTCAACACCTTCGCAAAGAAGCCCGCACACTGCCCAACCGCAATGTTCTTTTCCTTACTGGCGTCGGCCTCATTTCTAATCCTATCTTTTGTACTTAAAATCGCGCTTTCTGAGAAGGGACACGTAGGCTTCAAATCAAAAAGCCTGTAATTTAAGTTGGGAACTTCAGGGGCCAGCAGCCAGAGCCCTGGAGCTTTATAAAGCGGCCCCTCCCCAAGAGCACCGGGCCGCCCCCCCCCGCGCGCCCCCCCCCCCGCCCGCCTGCCCACGCAGCCCCCCGGAAGCGGAGACCTGGGCGGGGTTACCTGGGGGCCCCGTCAGGAACACGTGCCTGGCCATTACGGTGCGCCCGGGTGGGGGTCGCGGCCTGGGTTCCGCCCCTCACCGTGCCCCAGGCCCCGCCTCCGTCGGCCGGAAGCTCCGCCTTTGCGACCGCGCATGCGCCTCAGGTCCGCGCGTGTACCTCCGCCGTTCGCATCGCTCGCGCATGCGCTTTCGGCTCTTGGTCTCGGCGCGTGCGGACGTCCTCCCCTAGACGGGTCGGGAGGGTGGTGGTCAGGTCTTCTCTGGGTCCACGTGCTGCATGTTTGACCCCCGATGTCTGGCTCACGCGGGGTGTCTCCAAGGAGAGGTGCGCGAGAATGTCTATTACTAAGCCGGTGCTACGGTACCTGAGCGCGGTCCCCGGAGTCCTGCCGCTGACATCCGGACCTGCGAGCTGAAATTCTCCCAGGCTGAGGGGACAGCCCTTCTGCAAGTTTGGTCTTGGGACCCTTCCTTCAAAGGAAAGAGGTTTTTACCGATTCGAACTCTGCTCAGCGCTGTCAACCATAGCTGCCAGTAGAATTACCTGATTAAACGTGCTCGATGCCTGGGCTCCACATCCCTAAAATTCGGAGTGTTTGGTCTGGAGTGTGTCCTGAGTATCTGGATGTTTTTTTGTTGTTTTGAACTCCCCAGCAATTTCTGAAGTTCACTGGGGTTGAGAACCACTTGTTCAGGCAGACTTCCCAACCTCAGTCGTGCCTATGAAGACCAGAAATTGGTCCTTTTTACCTCCATACGGTAGTGGAAACCAACGCAAGACCCGGCTGGAGGATCTCCTGGTACAAAGAATTAAGTGGCTTTCCCCCACTCACTTAACCACTTGAAGTGTTTCAGCCAGAGAAATGAAGTGGCAGTGGCCTTGGGCCAAATTTACCTGTAAACTCTTTCAGTCTGACATGTGTATGGTTTGACTTGTGATCAATCATTCTCCATCCTGGCTGAGAAAGCAATTTCACTGAGTGCTCAACTTAATTGGTTTGTGCCCACACAGGACCTCCAGGGCTCCCCTTAGTCTGCTATATACATCAGTCAGATGGTCTCAGTTCTTTTAGCTATTTAAAAAGTAATCATCTAAAAAATAAGATTTGTACAGTGTAGCCATTACCATCATTTTGGCAACATTTATAAAGCTGCATCACTCCTAATGTAGGGCCTTCCACCTACATTTTATCTTTAACCTCATGCAAACTGGAATCAAGAACGGCTGATGTAGCCAAGTAAACCCATAGTAGTAGTTTCCAAAAGAAAGGAAACACGTACACAGCCATAAATACACTCTTGTTTTTATCAAAAACATTTAATCAAAAACACTTAAACATTCAATGCTAATTATGTAAAAATTACCATCACTGAAAAACCATTTATAATTTATAAGGATCACTAGGAGTTTGGACTATCTTTTTTTTTTTTTTTTTAAGATTTTACTTATTTGACAAGAGAGACACAGCGAGAGAGGGAACACAAGTGGGGAGTGGGAGAGGGAGAAGCAGGCTTCCCACGGAGCAGGGAGCCCGATGCAAGGCTCGATCCCAGGACCTGGGATCATGACCTGAGCCGAAGGCAGACGCTTAACAACTGAGCCACCCAGGCACCCCTGGACTATCTTTCTTTTGATGTTGTACCTGGCATTCTGGTAGCTACTAATGGGCATCAGTTTAGGTAGCTCAAGGAACATACAGTTTCCAGAGTTTTCCAGTTTCCAGAGTACTGATGTCTTAGAGAACAAAAAGAATATTCTTCCGTAATTGGATGTGGGTTTTTTTTCCCATTAAAAATGATTTATTTGGGTGGTGATTACATGGTGTCTTAACTTCATGATAATTCATTGATCTGAGTCTTTTGATTTGTACAGTTTCCTCTATGTGTTATACATCAATAACAGATGAAATTCTTAGAGAATAATTAAGAACATATTTTAGAATAAATAGGTTATTAAAATATGTGCTGAGTCTAACTTTAGCTTACAATTAAACCAGGATGTAATTACTTAAGGAACAGGTGATTTCAATTCTTTCTTCCTGCAGCACCTGGGTGCAGTCTCCCTTTTGGTAAGATGCAGTGTATAAGTACATGTTTAAATTTTCCATGATTTCAGAATCCTAAAAGTCCTAAAAAACAGTTTTTTGTTTGTTTGTTTTCATATCTCTGCTTTGCCAGGACTGTCTTAATTTTAAAACTGTCTTTGGAATCCCTTCTGTCCTGAGCAAACCAGGATGGCTGGTCATTCTACAGTTAAAGGACAGAAGAGCATTTAAGAAGCAAAATAAAGGGCTTTATAAGAGTAAATGCTATAGGTTGAATGTTTGTGTCCTCCCAAAATCTGTATGTTGAAAACTAATGCCCAAAGTGATGGTGTTAGGAGGTGGGACCTTTGGGAAGGGATTAGGCCCTGAAGGTGGAAGCCTCATGAATGGGATTAGTGCTCTTATAAGAGGCCCCAGTGAGATCCTTAATCCTTCCACCATGTGAGGACAGAGAGAAGTCTACCACCCAGAAGAGGGCCCCCACCCAATCTTGGCACTCTAATCTCAGACTTTCAGCCTCCAGGAACCGTGAGAAATATCTGTTATTTATAAGTCATCCAGTCTGTGTTTTGTTATAGCAACGGAACAGACTAAGGCACTATGCAAGCTGTTTTCTTCTTTAATAGTTCAGTTGTTCTGAATATGGGATCTTATTCCTGAAGAACTTGTTTTATCAGTAAATACCTAGAAAGACTATTTAACAGTCTGTATGTGAAGCCTGATCTGTTGGTACTCCAGGCCTCCTCAGTATAGGGGACCAGGGATGGCTTTACACCCTCAACACCCGCTCTTCCTGCCCAGCATGCCTGGATGCTTCCCCCCCCCCATCACACACACACCCTCACGCTGGTGTCCGGTGGCATCTCCCTGGCCTGGATACGGAACAAAGATTCTGGCATGTAGTTTGTGGTAGGTCCTGAGTACAAGAGAACTGAGACCAGAACAAAGATTATGGCTGCCAGGGATATGGAAAAAGGAAAGTGGGAAAAATCAAAAGTGGTAACCGTGTTTTGCCCCCAGCATTTATTTCCCTATGTGGAAATAGCACCTGAATTATCCTTTTAGGACCATCCCATCCCCAGGCCCAGTCCCTGTGATTAAAAAGTGAATTTCCGGGCGCCTGGGTGGCTCAGTTGGTTAAGTGACTGCCTTCGGCTCAGGTCATGATCCTGGAGTCCCTGGATCGAGTCCCGCATCGGGCTCCCTGCTCGGCAGGGAGTCTGCTTCTCCCTCTGACCCTCCCCCCTCTCATGTGCTTTCTCTCATTCTCTCTCTCTCAAATAAATTAAAAAAAAAAATCTTAAAAAAAAAAAAGTGAATTTCCTTCCCCACCCTTTCTCTTGGGGCGGAGGGTGGGGTAGGGGCTCGTGACTCGGGCCTGGCCAATGACAGCATTCCATCTTTCTGGCTCAGTGATTGGTTCCAGGAAGCACATGATCCAAGCTAAATCAGAGGCCCATAAACCCAAATCTTTTATCTGACATGTTCCTCTCCCTTTTAACCGTGTCATTCCCTGCACCTCGGGACTGAAGATAGCCACCAGCCAGTGTGACTGAAGCAGAAGGACAAGGGGAGGGGTGGTGACCCCTCCCTCTCTCCCCAGTCACCTCTTATCCTGCAAGACAGGCTCAAATGTCCCCGCTCTGGGAAGGCTTTTCTGATTCTCCTGGCCCCTCAGCAGTGCTCTCTCAGCACCCCACGTCGTGACACTACAAGGATCTGTGTATATACGCCTCTTCTGCCACCCAAAAGGCAAGACCCTAAGGGATCTTTTCTTATCCATCTCTTTATATGTAGCATGCCGCATAGTACTTAACAGCACATGCATCCACCCCCTGTGTGCCAGGAACTGTTCTGGGGGGAGGGGGGGGCGTGCGGACAGCAGTAAAGAAAATAGAGTCTGCCCTGTATAGGTCATATTCTAGTGTGGAGAGACGAACAAACAGACAAGAAAATATAGAGATAGGATGCCACATCGTGGTGAGGCCATGGGAAAAAAAAATCAAAAGGATGGGGAATGCAAAGGGTGTGTGTGCATTTTACAGAGGGTGATCGAGGAAGATATCCCTGAGAAGATACTGCCTGAGCAGAGCTCTGAAAGAAGCAAACCTTGTAGAAGAAGTCTGGGGGATGGCAGTTTAGAAAGCCAGATCAGTGTGTGCAAAGGTCCTGAGACAGGAGTTCTTGGCTGAAGGAGGAACAGCAGCAAGCCAGCGTGGCTGGAGAAGACTAGGAGAGAGAGATGAGGTCAAAGAGGCAGCAGGGGCCCAGATCCTGCAGGCTTTATAGGCCATGGTGAGGACTCTGGCTTTTACTGTAGTAGAGTAGGAAAGCCATTGGAGGGTTTTGAACAAAGGAGTAGCATTATCTAAGTTATTTTTAGGAGAAGGAGAAGATCCTCAGGCATCTGTGTCGAAAATAAACTGCAGATGAGCAGGATGGAAGCTGGGAGACCGTCAGAAGGCTACTGTAATAATCCAGATGAGAGATGATCATGCATTCACTGACACATAAAATAGAGGCTTGATAAATGTTTTCTTGCATAAATGAGTGAATAAGTGAATGCCATCCCCACAGACAGCACCAGCCTGTCCGGGAAGGAGTAGAGCAAGGGCAGAGGGGCAGGAGAGTCCCCAGCCTTACAGAGTTGGTGTGATTGAGGTAACATTAAACAGTCATGCTCAGGTAGTAATGTCCCTGTAGCAGTCACAATGTTTTGCTTGAGCAACAAGTTGGGCAGGGCACTCACATCCTACAAGGAATCCTACAAGGATTGCCTTTCTGATACGGACAGTGGGGTTGGTTAGTGCGACATCCTAAGTACTGGGACTGCAAAGCCCTACTAGAGAGCCCCAGTCACAGCCCTGTGGTACCCCTTCAGGCTCACACACATCCCATCCACCTCTCTTTGCCAAGGTCACCTGAAGTTACAGAGGTTGGCTGGGGGAGGGAATGCCAGTGTGTTGGCTGGAAGAATTGCTCTGAGGAGCCCACAGATGTACAGTGGGGAGAAGCAGCAGTCCTCCTTGTTGTGGGTAGAATTCTCAAATAACCCCCCAAATTCCCTGACTCCCAAACTGTATCCACCATGCATATAGGTTA